ATGTCACTTTATTGCCCAGAACTTTAGGAACTTTAGTTCCACTTCAATTAGATACAAGGATACTTCGTTTTTTAAGAGCTTTGGTACTGAACATTCGCATGTATCTACAGTCTCAAACTGCTCGCGGACACCTGCCCACCATGTGAGGAAGCCGTGCGGAGAGTGGCATACGGGGTGCCGGCAGCAGCAGGGGGTGGCGGGGGCGGGGGGGGGGGCGGAGCGGGGCTGCAGGTGCTCAGGGCAAGTGGCCCTCGGCAACACCGGCTCCATGGGTCATGACCTCTGGTTTGCCTACATCAAAGTCCTGTAGTCTAAAATAATTCTGGCCCAAATACAACATGTCATTGGGCTGCTTTGGACCACACAATCCACCAATTAAAAAAAAAAAAAGTCTTATCCCTGGCCAGGTGGTTCAGTTGGTTGGAGGGTCATCCCGGACATCAAAGAAAGGTCTCATCTCTGGTCAGGGCACATACCTGGGTTGCGAGTTCAATCCCTGGTCAAGGCCTGCATGCGAGGCAACTGATCTGTGTTTCTTTCTGACATTGATGTTTCTCTCTCAATCCCTTCCTCCCTCTCTAAAGTCAATAAAAACATCCTCAGGTGAGGATAAAAAAAAAATGTCTTAGATGTACAAACTTGGATTAACCATAATCCTTGGTTCATGGTATATTCTCAACACTGGGTTTTACACAATCTTCTTGTTTCTTTCTTTCTTTCATTCATTCATTCATTCCAGGCCATCGGTTTGCAACCTCTGGAATAAATACGGTGCTAACTCCAAGTGTGCATTAAATGGGTAAACAATGTCCCTGCAACTGCCGTTTACATGGCTAATTAGCTCAGCAAGCCTTTTCTGGGTGGTAACACAGGGCCATGGTTATGGTGTAGGCTTCAGAGAGAGAGGGTTTGCATTTAGGTTATGCACTTGAACACAGGCAAATTACTTCATCTCTCTGGGCCTCGTTTTTCTCACTTGCCCAAGTGGGTTACACCTCGTAAGGCTGTTGAAAACATTAAAGGAGATAAGCCATGCTAAAACACGATGCACACCAAAGCACGGAGTTAACGTTTGTTACTACCACCATTATGCTACAGAGAAGAGAGAGGCAGACCTCTTGGCCTGTCTCCTACTGTTGGTGACACAAGGATTAGTGACCACACACTACCAAGGAATCGGGATAGACCGAGAAGCAGAAAAAGCCTTTCTGGCTCAAACACAAGGTTCCACCTCTTCACAGTCCAGCAGGATCCTGGGTTGGGCTGGAGAGTCAGAGAGCAGTTTCTCTTCTGGGAGTCAGCGGCTCTCAAACCCACTCTGCATTACAATCACCTGGAGGCCTCATTGAGCCTCAGGTCACTGGGCCCCAGCCTGGGTCTCAGATCCTAGAGGCTGGAGGGAGGGGCCAACACGTGCATTTCAACATGTTCTCAGAGGGTGCTGCTGCTGGTCCAGGGGCTACGCTTTGAGAACCGCTAGACTAAGCAATTTACTCTGATGGGGGACAAGACACAGTCAGGAAGGCTTCTTGGCGTGAAGGCCTTTGAGGGGACCTCGGTTTGCCAACGAAGAGGGGAAAGCAGAGGGAACAAGCACACAAGGTGTACGAGTCCCCGGGGTGTGCTGGGAAAGGCCCGCGTTGAAGCTGACAGCTCACAAGTCCTGGTTCCATTCTGCCAACCTCTCTGTGGGTGATTTTCAAAACGGGAAATGTGAGCGGAACTGGCAGCCGTGGGAAGGCTGCGTGAGGGGGAGACCAGGTAAGAGAACAGGGAGAAGTGGTGGGACAGGAGCAGAAAACCATGGTCTTCAGCCCAGGTGTCCCACCCTCCCTTAAAGTCTGGAGGCTTTCTTCTTGGACGGTTTTCAAACCAGAGACTGAGACCCATGATTTCCAAAGGCATGAAATGAAGTGGTGGGGATGATCAGCATTTAAAGAAAATGAATTACAAGAGACTAGAAAAATCCAGAGCTCATCGCACAGAACAAGGGTCTTGTTCTGTCGCACCTGTTTCAGGTGAGTGTGTGGATGTGCGCAGCATTGGAACATTCACAGATTGCGGTCAGAAAGGTTGGAGAGCCAGGGCTCCACGCCAGCCCTCGGTTTACCAGCCCGGCCAGGAGTGGCCTCTGCCTTCCCTGAGACACACCCATCTGGGCCTCGGCCCTTGGCTCCTGTCTTCTGTTTTATGATTTCAAGAAAGGTAAAAACACAACAGAAACGCACACAAAAGATCTGTGCAGTGTATGGAGAAGGTGCTGTGGCTGATCGAATGTGTCAGAACTGGTTTGCCAAGTGTCTTGGTACTACTGACATTTTGGCCAAATAATTCTGTGCTGCGGGGCTGACTCAGGCATCGGGAGATGTTTAGCAGCGCCCCTGGCCTCTGCCCACTAGAAGCCAATAGCGGGAGGCAGCTGCCACACTCAAAATATCCACATCAATAAAGTTATTGGTGAAAATGAAAAATGTGTCTTTTATTTTACAGGAAAAAACATAATGGACTTCTTAGCCAACCCAATATAAAGTCCAAATAGAGCTTGGAGAAGCCTCAACTATTAGGCGACAAATCAAGTTAAAACTGAAGAAGCTGCGGCCTGTTGCCCAGTCCCTGCCTAGGACCTGGGCACAGGCTTGAAGGTTTCAGTGCTCCTCCGGGCCACGTTCAGATGCCACCATGGCTTGGAGGCTCAGCGCCACCTGGCCTACACTCCAGGTACGACAGTGGGTGGGGACCGAGATGGACAGCACTTTAGGTGCTCTAACCAGACACTGCCACCACCCCCCCCCCCCGCCACACCAGGTGAGAAATCCTGGAAGCACCAACCCCACTCCTTTTGGTTCTGCCGAATGTCAGTGACTCTTTTTCAAGAGTTTTTTTGTCACATCGTAATTGGGACAGAGTTTGTAGAAATGGTTACTTTCTCTTTCGTGTGGGTGGTTCTCTATCCAGGCTACAAATTTCACTGGCTCTGGGAAGGCACACACCAAAACCCCCTCCACACCCCTGTATATAAGACTTAGGATCTGCCTGTCTTCAGGTCTTATAAGGGTCAGGTGGTCTCATTTTACATATTAAGAAACAGTTGCAGAGAGCTTCTGTGGCTGCTCGAGGTCACTGACTGGAAGGCTCCAGGGTGGCTGCGGCTCTCCTGCCTGCTGGCCAAAAGGTCTCTCAGAGGCTTCTGGCAGTTCATGTCAGATACAAAAGCTTGCCGTGTACTTGTGCTGCAGCCAAAGGAAGACCAGCAATTTCACAGTGTGGAAGTGGCTTTGATGATATAGTTTTCTATCTGATAAAGAACCCTAGTCTATTGAAAGGATACTTCCGTATCTAGGAAACTGCTCAGAAGTTCATAGGGAAAAAAAAAAAAAGAGGCTAAGTTTAAAAAATAACGTGAAAAAGCTCGTCACTTTTATTTTCCTCTTTCCTTCAACAGATTTAATGCCACTGAGGCATAATTTTTCGGTGTGGATACAGGGAGGTCTGGAGGGACCCTCACTGCGTGACTGAGTGCACTGCACAATTCTGCCTTAAACTTCTTTTTATGCTATACGTGTACATGCAATATCAACAGTCACATCTTATTTCATCTCATCCACCTTGATTGAGGCAGAAAAAGGGTAAACAGCAAGTGCTGTTGTGAATATCCTTCCAAAATGATAATTATTGCATCATTATGTTCGCTACTTTACTTGTCATGTACCATTAGAAGGTAACAAGATCATTGTCAGTCAAAGACTGTGGAGATAATTAGAGCATCTATAGGTTAGCAAGAAATCAAATTGGTGCTGGAACCCATCAATGCCAAGGAGCTGAACATAATTAGTGGCAAAATATGCAAAGGTTGAGCTGCATCAAGCCCCCGGGATTAAATACCGTGACTGATTTGGAGAGCTGGCTCTTCTCCGTCCTGCCATTGCAGATGGCGACATGAAAATAGGTGAGCAATGGAAGGCTGAGGCTGCCCGAGACAGCGAACTGTCAGTCAGTCATGCTCAGTGTCTGGAAGGTCCCAAGAATTGCCTGATTTGGAAAACCACAGTGTTTATCACGTTTTCCAAGCCACTAGCTTTTCTTCAAGTTATTTTCTCTAGTGTGGAAGTTAGGTATAACATATAAAAGCAAAGCTGAGCGAAGTGGGCTGTACACAAGCAGTTCCTGCTCCACCCACCCTCAGCTCTCCTAGCCTGCAAGGCCGGCTCTCCCACCTAGGGATCTCCAGTGCCTCACTTCCCACACAGCCCTGTGGAGCCACGGGAGCCCACGGCTCCCTCTGTCAGTCCAGAGCCCCTGGTTTCTCTTCACTTCCACTTCTAATGCTCACTTGGCAGCCGCCCACATCCTGCTACCATGGACTGCTTTCCTTTGTTTTTGTTCCAGTAAGATAGAAACATCAATCCAAGCAGAAATTTTATCAGGTCGACACAGTAAAGTTTAACAATTTTTACATCTTAAAAAAAACGGATTTTTGAAGATGAGGCAGATGTCTGCCAACTGATGAGAGATAGCCATGTCATTCAGCAAGACACAGAAAAAGGAGACACGAGAAAAAAGTATCTGGAAGGTCTTACATAACACCTCTGAGTCCACTGAGTGAAATGCAAAGGAACAGGCAAGAAAGGCTGTTGTCAAAGGCCCAAAATGAGATTTGTCCTCAATGCAGAGGAAGCAAATGCTGAGGTTTGAAGGGGGCCTGAGACACAAAGGGCACTTGCTAACTTGGCCTATACACACACCATATATAAATCCAAAAATACTACACTTCCCATGATGTGTAGTATTTTGCTTAGAGCATACATTAAAAAACAAAACAAAACAAAACAAAAAACCTACCAATGACTGTCTGGGACCCAAAGAGCTACAGAAACTCACTGGCTGGTGGCTTGGCGGGACGGCCAGCTGCTGCGGGTCGGCCTTCTGCTCTTGCTCGGCTGGGCTCAAGGTGTGTCAAGAGCCAGGTCTTGCAAGAATGGCTCCTCCCCTGAGGTCCCGATGGCCATCTCACACAAACAGGCAGCTGAAAGCTTAGTTCACATTTTTTAATAACATGGCACAGTTTACATTACACAAGAAGGCTCCGCCGATGAGAACATGCTGAAGATTCAGTCGCTTCACTTTTCTTTTCACATAGGATCTAGAAAGGACTTTATTACATACAGGATAAACAGCAAAAAGGTCTGTATAGAACAATCTCTTTACAATACTGAAAGCTACCACTACAGTTCCAGTGTACATATTCCTTGGATTTTTTTTCCTTTTTAATTGTTGTCTTTAAAAAAAAAAACAAAACACTGCACAACATCTGGAGTTCACAAAAAATCTGAAGCTCACAACTAAACCTTCAGTTTACTACTAAAATAGATCTCTCTGCTTATTAGAAACAATGGTCTGTAGTTAACTTTTTTTTTCTTCAAAAACAGGATAACAACGTCAGATAGCACTTTAATATACTAGAAGACCAAATGGAACTAATTTTATTTCATACATATATTTTACAGTCCAGTAGACAAGATATATTGTATTTCTCTGCTAGTAAAGTCATATTCTCTCCAAATATGTAGACAAGAGGCTTAATGTATTATAAAAGTATTATGAAGAGACATTAAGATTGATGCAAACTTAAAAACGCACGCACACACAAGACTGCGTCTCTGCCACCTTTCACCCTCTGTAACTCGCCACGGCTCCACGAGGCTGACCTGTTACGGCTGCTCCCAGACTTTATTACCAACTGGAATACAGTGAGTCACATTAGGAAATGTGCCCCTTCAATCCGTCAGTTATCGAATACAATGAAAACATATCCATCATCTGAGAAAACTTGAAGCTTTCTTTCAGGATCTGTTTGGGTGTAATTAAATTTCATTACAAAATGAGGAAGTGTGTACAGATATGAAATAGGACACACTAAAAAAACGCATGGTTCCCACATGAGGTGTGTGTGAAATCACATGACTGATGGTGACGAGATGCTGGCGACCTATTTGTGTCCCCTGATTTTGGCATCTGACAACTCCTGCCCCCCTCCCCCCGGCCCTGGTTGCTCACGTCCTCTGGCCTTTCCGGGTGGCACTCTCCCCCAGGAGCCCACAAGCAGCAACTTCAGATGCAAAGTTTCAGCCTGGGGTCCAATGTGCACAACAGGATGTTTCTCCATTTAAAAAAACAAGCAAGGAAAACAGAGTCCTATCACGTAAGCGCTTGTTCAGGGAAAATATGACCTTAAGTATGTTGTAAATGGATTTGAAAAGGCTCCTTTGAGTTAGGCGGGCTTTTGTGAAAAGCCCGAACATTCATTGCATAGTTGAAGGGTTTAGCTGTCTATAACAATACATGAGAACGCAGCCGTAGCCGACTGTGTTCACTGATATTAAGTTTGCAAATAGCACATTTTAAGAAGTATTAATGTATTATGTTACTTAATCTTTACCTATTTACATTTGTACAAAGTAAAGCTTTCATCTTACCCTTTTGCATATATGAACCCTTAGCTCACGAAGCAATCTTTTTTTTTTTTTACATAACTATGTACACGGCCTTCCCTTCTCGTCTGAAAGAGCTTCGCACGGTGGACTGTGTGGGCTGCGGTCTGTTTTCTCCCCAGTTAACACCAGTGGTGTGTGTTGTCATCTTCACTGTTTTGGTTCAAATCAAAAAGTTTTATATAAGAAACCAAAAGAGTTGGACACATGAGAACATATGACTTGGCTAAAAGATCTGAAAAATCTCAACATATAATATACAAAAACATTTCAAAATCTGCACTGAGGCTATACATTGTTTACATGGGGAAGAGCTGGGGGCTTCTGGTCCCCAGTCTGTGTTAATGACGCAGGAGTCCTCTGGCTCGCTCCCTCTCTGAAGTCCGGCGTTGTGTTGGTGTGAGGCTTCTCCCTCCTCCTCCGTCGCCCACTCTCTCCTTATCGAGCTTCGATATCCTTCAGAGTGTGGGAAGGCGGCCTCTCCCTCATCTCTGTGGACAGAGGAGTAGTCCTTCTGGGGGAGACTGGGCGGCCCCCCAGCGTCGAAATGAGTGGGGGAGGCGCGCTCAGCGCTGCCGTAGGAGGGGTCTTGTTGAGGAGTCCGTTCTGGTGCCCTGCGGTGGGGCTGATTCTGGGGTAGTGCATGCTGGGGAGCCCCGGGGTGATGAGGCTGGGGTGGGGCAGGTGTCCATCGAGGGAGGCCGGGTGGACAGGATGGAGCCGCGTGTGCTCATAGTCCTCTCTGAGCATGTGCAAGCGCTCCCGCTCGTCCAGGTGACCCCCTCGCTCGTGCTCCCGCCGAGGGTCCACAGACAGAGGGTGGTGGTGGTGGTGGTGGTGGTGGTTGTAATCATGAGGCTCCCTGTCCCTGAAGGAGCGGTCAGCTTCATACAGCCGTGGGGTCGAGAGACGGTGGAGAGGGTCGTTCCTTAGCAGAAAGTCCCTGCCCAGCGGGTCTCTCCGGTGAATGTCCAGTTCTCGGTAGGGATCCCTCAAAGGGTCCCGAATGGGGTCCCAGTGGAAAGAAGGGTACGGGAACCGCTCTCCGCCTGGGATGGGGCTGATGCCCATGAAGGGAGTCATCATGCGAGTCCTGTCCAGGCTGCTGATGCTGTTCATGGGGTGGATGCCTGTCACCCCCACTGTCATGGGCATGGAGGCCAAGGGCCCCGCGTGCACGCTGGACGAGGAGTTGGGGGGCGGCGGCTCTGAGGGCCGGTGGGTCTGGGGGGCCTCCGGAGGGAGGTCGTGGTCTTCCTTGCGCTCCTCCTTCACCTTGACCTCTGAGCTCTTCTTGGGGTTCTCGTAGGCCGGCTCGCCCTTGCGCTGCTCAGCCTCGCGGCTCGAGGTGCTGTTGGGCCTGGCGCTCTCCACGACAGGGGTCCGCACGTAGGGCGACGGCACCCGGGCCAGCTGCTTGGCCTCTTCGCCCACAGCTCGCCCTTCGTGGCCATGGCTGTCCTTCTCGGGCAGGTGGCCCTCCTTCGCCTTGTGCTCCTCGGCGGTCAGGTCCTTGCGGGACTCGGAGTGGTCCCTCTCCCTCTCTTTGGATTTGTCTTTCTCGCGAGCCTCAGTGTTCAAATGACCCCTGATCTGTTCAGTGGAGCTGCGGGTGTGTCCCAGGGTGCTCACCGGGAGGATAGGTGCTGGTGAAGGGTGGCTGGAGTGTCTTTTCTCAACACTTTCCCTGAGGGAGAAAGAGGGAGACAGGAAGCAAATGAAATGGGCTTGTTGGCCTGGCCAGGGGCTGCCGATGAAATGGCGGTGTGAGGAGGACGGGCTGGGCCTGCTCCCACGGTCACCAAGGTGGCCGGACATGCCCTCTGTCCTGCAAAGCCAGCCACCCTGGTCTCACTTACCTAGACTAGAGAGGAAGCTTTATGGGGGTGGAGTGCTAGTGATGGGGGTGAGTGGGGAGTCTCGGGGGAAAATCAGATCTCTCTGTATGTAAGAGTCACGTGCCTCGATCGAGACCGCAGAGGAAGAGCTTTCCGAAAGCCGAGGGGCCCAGTGCGGCCCTAGGCTCCGTGATGTGGCAAAACTGCCCATCTGACTGGAGTCGCAGGGTCAGTTAGTGTTGAGAAGAAAGTTTTAAGAGACTAAATGCAAATATGATCTTTTGTCCAACTTTGTCATACAGAGCCAGTGGCATAAGAGTTTAATGTGACTATTACAGATGTTCTCTGTCCTGACATCAGGACAGACAGCGGGTTTCAGGGAAACGAAGTACGAAGAAACGTGGAGACAGAGCAGTCTCCAAGATGTGGTGTGTGAGGGGTGTTGGCAGGAAACCACAATTCCAGGGCTTTGGGGTTGCAAAAAGTACTTTGGCATCAGGAAGGGTAAGAAAGGTAAAATCTGGTGAGAAGACAGACAAAGACGGTAGGAAAAGCAGGTTGATAAACACAAAACCTCCTTCGGGGAATCGAGAACAGTTTTAAGAGCACCTACAAATGGAAATGTGAAAGAATTTGAGAGACGTGTCCTGGGTGGGGGCTTAAGACTACCAGGCAGAAGACGAAAAGCAGCAGAATGACAATGAGGTAAAACTTGAAGAGGGAAGACTAGAGTCCGGCAAGCCTGGGGGCCGCCCAGGCAGACGTGGGAGGGCGAGGGGACCGCAGGACGCTGCCCGCGCTGGCTCTGCAACGGCCAGGCCCCACAGTGGAGAAATTAAGATTTCCCCTACAAATTTTGTTTCTAGCCCACATGCAAAGGCTAAGAAGAGGAGCATCTTTAAAAGGTAAGATTAAAGAAGAGCATGTTTTATGAAGTTTCCTGAGTTTCATCCAAGAGGCTGTTCTGACTCCATCAAGAACGCCGTGAACAGTTGCTGCCGCAGCCTGTCTCCTCTACACTGACAGCCCCCTCTGAGGGGAGCTCTGGGCTGAGGCGCATCTACGGCAGGTGCGCCTCACGTTAGCGTTTTACGGCTCAGAGCTGAGTGTGAGAAATGGTCCTCCCGTTGACTAAGAAGGTTTCACCGTACTGTCCTAAAGGAAAATTTGTCTTTTTCTTTTATAATAAAGAACTCAGTGAGCATGATGGCCTGTGATGAACATCTACTAATCTGTCACATTTAGAGCCTGCTAAGTTGAATTCTTTTACATCACTAGGATACACACACATACTACACACACACACACACACACACACACACACACACACACACACACAGTTAAAGAAAAAAAATTTGGAGATAGAGATAAGAATTTGGATCATATTTGAGTCTTTAAGTACCAGAAGGGAATTGGTATTAGGTATTTTCTGTCAAGCATATCTTGAGTAGTCCTTGCTTATCAGTTTGTTAGAAATGAAAATAACCTGAAGAAATAAAAAAAAAGGGGGGGGGGCACATTGTCAAGAATGCTTAGGCCATTCTCCGGAAAAAAAATACCGCAAGACGTTTTCCTCTTTATGGCTACTTCTTTCTTAGGCATGAGTTACCAAGTGCAGAGATTAAAAAACAGTTAGTAAAATTAATTATCCACTAGCAAAACAAACCCAAACCAATAATGCTTATTGACATTTCTCTAAATCTAGGTGAGCAAAATTTTATTAGTCATCTGTGAGAGCCCAGGATTTGAACAAAATTTCAGAAAAATATGATGAGGCAATGCAAACATGACTTTCTCAAAGAAAACAAAAAGAGGAGAAACCTATGGATGATTTAATGGACTGCACAAACTAGAAAGCAAATATGGTGTTGATTCATGCTGTGTATGTTTGGTCCAAAGCTCCAACTCGCTGTCTTTTAGAGAAAGATCTGTATTTGGATTCACTAATGCTCACAGGGACTTTGGAGGGTCTGCATGTGTCAGTGCTTCTGAGTCAGGACTGTCTCGCTCTGCTAGGGTGACATTCTGTGGCCACAATGCGCTACGGGGCCGAGGGCGTGCGCTCTGGGACGCGGGGGCCGGGCTCTGCGCCGGCCCCGGCCGCGTGAGGAGCTGAGGCTACAGGACCAGCTGAAGCACAAGGCTGGGGCAGGGAGGGCGGGCGGCCGGTACTTGGCACAGACGGGCTCCCCCAGTGGGACTCGAGAGCGGTTTCTTTCCGTACCTTTCTTTGTCATCTTTACTAACGGATGAGTCTCGTTTATCTACATCTCTATCTCTGTCATGAGCTGCAGTGGACGCGCCACGCTCCAGCTCCCCTGGCTTCAGCCAGGGCGGAGGGGTCGGGAACGACGGAGGCGTTCGGTGCAGCCGGTTCCAGGGCTCGTGAGGGTTGCTAAAGTTCTGCACACTGGGGCCATCCTTGTGGCCGAACATTGAGTTGGGTGCTGAAATGGTGAAGTGGAGAACAAAAAGGTTTAAGAGAAATTATATAATCTGCTGTAATGAAGGTACTTACCAAAAAACTTTTAACAGCATTCAGAGTTAAAATGAATACATATTATTGGGAGCTGGAAAAGGAAAGGAGATTAACAAATTCATTAGAGGAACTTGTCCTACTACTAGAAAGGCAGCTCACAGCTTTCTCTTTTTTTTTCTTTCTAACCCAAAGGCAAAGGGGTGGGAGGGGGACAATTCAAAAGGAAAGGGACCAAAAGGTGTCAAGATTACCTAATTAAACACATCTGTGCATGCAGCAGTCCCAAGCATGCAGAGGGTATATTTTGACGGTGTGCCTTCGGTGAATAATATTTAATTCGGAGTAGGATTCAGGGTTATCCACTACCAACCGCGGCCCTGCCAACGTGACTGCTACTCTTCCCACAATGATAGCAAACTGATGTCACCAGACACTAGTCAGCGCTGTGACCTAAACAGATACATAGGCCTCCACACTAGATGCAACTGTCATGGTTGCTTACGCGGCGTTTTAGGTCTCTTGTACCTGGAGACTGTGACATATAGATGACGTGAAAGAAAACAGGTTGAGTGTATTAAATTCAGTGACTAAATACATGTTTGGAACATGAGCAGGTGTTGCAACTGTTTTCCTATTTGAGACAGTGTTTTCAGTAGCAGAAAACTATCCGATCCTCCCAAATTGTGGAGCAAGAAATGTCACCGGCTCTTCACTCTCCTGAGCCTGGGGTTGTTACCCTGCTCTTCTTCATCGAGCTCTCCCAGTCCCACGAATGCCAAAGCAAGGCGACATTCAAAAGTTGTTTTCACCTCTAATAGGATCTGTAGCTAAAGCCCGGGGTAGCAGAGAGGGAATGTGGATGAAACTATGAATTTAAGCAAACTTTCTGGAGTTCAATGAACTACATTTCCTTTCCTGACTCTCAGTAATGTACATTAACAGTGGACGAGCCCTAAAAAGTTGATTTTGCTGTAAGTGCACACATCCACCTAATCCCACTGTTAAGGTCTGTGTTTGCAATGATAAAAACCCTATTTCCCAAGGGCATAGTTTCTTTTTATTTGGCAAGGTCTTGAGCCACAGACAGGTCAGAGGACATAAATAGTCCAAGACAGATTTTAAGAAGTTAGAGGTACTCACTAACTGAAGGATTTCCAAGTCCTCCGAAGGCATTGCCACCCACCGCTGCCAGGCCAGTGAAGGTAGATGGCCGATTAAAAGGCTCTGCGAACGAGAGAGGGAAGAAGGACAGGCTGCAGGACTCCGCTGTGTGGGCGACACGGCAGAGCTCGCTGGGGGCTGGGGCAGCCACGTGGCACCCAGGCCTCCCTGTGCTCAGCCCTGATCTGTCCTACTTCTCCTACCAGGTGATGTTTACACTGCACTTGACATCAGGCACTGGGTTAGCAAAATATTTACACAAGCTCTTTTCTGGAACTGTGCATTTTGCCCCATTTCTCTTGCCAGGTGGGGAACATGCCTCAAGCCACATGTTCTAAGATGCCGCCTCCGTCTCCCCTCCTCCAGGAATGTGCTGTGTGGGCTCCAATGGACAGAAATGAGATGACACCTTACAATCAATCTAAGGTGAAATTCTGAAGGCTCACGGAAGACACACCCTGTCGGTGGGTGCACCACTGTTTCCATCTGCTTGTACCTTTGCAGAAAATACCAAATCAAGGCCATGAACAAAGCATGCACCTTTATTATTAGGAAGAGACTTATGAATAAGGCAGTGAAATGTGAAGTGATTAAAACATAATGGGTAATGATTCATCAAAACAGCATTTCGTCTTTCTTTCCGCCTCCAGGATGTGCCTATAGACACGGGGCAAGAGTTCACAACCTTCCTCTGATGGGCCGGGCAGGCTGCTGCAGACGCGGAGCCCTGAGGAACCGAGGTGTGGCTTCTGCCCACTACACATCCGCGCCTGCAGACACAACACTACAGACCACGCGTCTACTCCCTGAAGAATGCGCTAGCACAGGTGCTGAAATCCCGGACGTGGACAACACCTCTTCGGGCTTCTACAAGGTCACTGTCATTTCTGTAAGTGGTAAGCGAGGTGCCTAGGGCTATGCCCAACTTGCCAGAAGTGCAGCAGAGGTACAGTAAACAAAGGTTTTCTGAAGAACACACGTCACTTCCCGTCACTATGGGCAACTCACCTAGGTGAGCAGCAGGGTTGAGGAAGTTGCTGTGATGAGGAGGTGGCCCAAAAGGGGTCCCAGTCGGGTGTGCAGCACCTATGATGTCAAACACAATGGAATTAGGTTTTCCTGGTAGCCGATTGCTACAATGCAGTTGGCTCCTAGCTGCCTCAGGACCTCAGGAGAGAACATGCTAAAGTAAGGACATGGCTGGAGTCTACCCGGGCAATACCCAGGGGAAGAAGAAATGTGCAAATTTTTAAAGATGTTGATACACAATATTAGAAACCCCTAAAACGACTGCCGGGGAGTGGGGGAGGTTCTATAGCTAAAAAAGTCTGGAGAAACACCAGGTTAAAAAATGTTCAGTAAGTTCTTTACTGAAGGGCAAGGAGCCACAGTCCTGTTCACGGGCTCACTTGCTCTATCAGGAGAGCATTTGACCATGAAAGGCGTTCTTCACAGAGCATCCCAGGGAGGAGGCTTTCGCTCGCAGCAAGCCCGTTGTGGAAAGGCATTCCACGACCCTTGGCCGCGGGGCAGCTGTCCTAGCTGTGTCGCTCCGCTTTGGGCCACCACAGGATCTCTCTTCCTGAAAATGTCTTAGTCATCAGGGCCTTGTGTTGAAGGACATTCGGAAGCCCAACCTCACGGGACCATCTGTTGGGAGTTATGCTGGATTAGGGGAGATGAAGGCCTCTGATCCTGCTCCCTCTTCAGGGCCAGGAACAGAGAGTTTCCTCAAATGTTTCTGGACACTAAGAATCTTGTAACTGGCTCTGAGTATTTGCCCACCAGAGAACTCAGGTCTAACTTTGCGGTCTTTCCTTTATCCACATTTCCTTCTCTACTCTATTTTGCCTTAAACAACATGTATTTAAGATCCCTTAAATCCTTTTCTTGAAGGAAGCTGCGGAAGGGAAGAGGGAAAGAGAGAGAGAGAGTGCAGACATGTGACTCACAGAGGGACAGTACGCCGAGAGCTCGGGCACCCAATGGCTGGTGCCCATGCAGGTGACGGCTGCGGAGGCACGCTGTGTGGGAGGCAGACCTGGCTCTAGACCACAGCTGGGCCACGGTCACCTGAAGGTGCCTTTTTAGTTTACTTCAGGCCTCAGTGCCCAAAGGTAAGGCAAAAGTGGCTGAATTTAACGAGTATGTGCAAATTATACATATCAGCTCAAAGTTTCACCAAATAACCATTTGGGTCAAAATCCAATAGTGTGTACACGGGAAAAGATTATGTTCCGGAACAGAAGTAGAAACAGGAATTGAATGAATTTACTAATAGCTATTTTATAATCTTTCGCACTGTAACTGAACTCCTACGAACAAGTTCCTTCAGAAATACAGATTAAATGGACGAGGGCCATCCCTCCCTGAGACCCTATTAACTCCCTCTATGTTTGGGCTGCCGCTCCCTACCTGCGAGGGCCTGAGGGCTTGCGGTGTGGAGCATGGGGGCACGTCTTCCCTGGTCGCGAGCGGTTCTCTGTTCAGCCCCAGGTGACTGACTCTCTACCCAGAAAGGGCAAAAACGTTACCCCATCTCCACAGAGCAACGGAGCCCAGCATATTCATTAGGTATTAAGTGTTGCCGGCTAAATAAAAATTTGGCTGCATGCTGTCTGTGTGGTACAAGCTAATTAATGCTTCCGTGAGGACTGGAGCTTTGCTCGGCCCACGGCCCCCAGGGTGCCTTGCAGTTCCAGAATTATTGAAGCAAAAGAAACCAATTCATCCCCTTGGCTCAAATGGAAGCCAGGGAGAAATCTCTCTATTTCTCTCCAAAATTGCTCTTAATGTAGCCCTGTCTCAGAGCCTAGGTGTCATGGTAACAAAGCCTTCAAATATGTCCCCAGACAGAAAAGACAGAAAAACCTGAGACCTTAGCAAATTCTATCTCCCCTCGAGGGTGATTCACTTGCTTTGGCAACAAAGCCCATTAAAATGATGATTTCTTGCAATGTGGGTGTTTCTCTTTTCTTGAATGGGAGAGCGTTAGGTCTACCAAAAATGACTCTTGGACAAACGCCTGGGAAGGGAGCAGGCAGGGTGGATGTGAAACTTGTTCCCTAAGGATGAGAAATAGGGAGCCACTTGGAGACTCATGGCCAGAAGAATAAATTCTACTTGGCATGTAAGTATTAAATTATGGAGCTGGTCACTAAAGTGAGCTTAGTGGAGTTATTTACACGTATTACCAAGTGGAGTCTTATGCCAGGCACTTGCCCTAAAGATAGCTTCAGGAATGCCCAAATAATAAGGGACCTTTGAGAATGAACTATGTTCTCATCCACCTAATACTCCTCACAGCCACTGCGTGTTGTCTGCGAGCACCTGGAGCAGAAAGGGGTGGCTCCCCGAAGCAGTCACCCTTAGCCGCCCCGACCCCGCTTTGGCACACCGAAGAGCCTCTCGCACGTGGGCATTCGGAATCATTAATGAACAGCTCTTTTGGGTGTTTTACACCCTGTCCCCTAAATCTTCTGCACTATTACAACCAACCAGGCAATAACACTAAGTTCTGTAGCAGAGACAACCAGCAACCAACTGATTCACCCACCCTCCCTCTCACAGACCATGCCACCAGCAAGTATCATAATGCATAGTGGACCCCTGAACAACGTAGGAGTAAGGGATGCCAACCGTCTGCATGGTAGAAGACCAGCACGTAACTTTCGACTCTCCCAAAACTAAACCACTAATAGCCTGTTGGATGCCTTACCCATAACATGAACAGTCGATTAACACATATTTTGTATGTTACATGCATTATATACTGTATTCTCATAATAAAGTAAGCTAGAGAAAAGAAAATGTTACTAAGAAAATCCTAAGGAAGAGAAAATACATTTGCAGTGCTTTATGTATTCACTGAAAAAAACCCACTTGTAAGTGGACCCATAGAGTTCAAACTGTGTTAAGGGTCAACTGTGTTTCTTTATCTTCAGACTCTCAAAACACAGCATGACTGAGCGTCACGGTGCAAAATGACGGAGCGTTCTCCATGCACTGGGAGCAAACTCCTGGCACCGTTTCCCTCCGATTTGCCCTTGTAAGCTTTCTGATCTTTTTTCAATAGCATTTGATGTGCTTATGAGTTATGTTGGCTTAATATAGAAGCAAATAATGAGCCAAAGCAATATGAGTCCCCTAAGGGAAAGATGATCTTTTTTCTTTCTTTAATGAAGAAGGGCATATCAATGAAGGAGATTCCACTTCCCTCCCTGTGCTACGGCGTGGCCTTGCAGGCTGGCATAAATTGTGTTTTTTAGGGAATGATGGAGCGGTGGCCCCGAGCGCAAACACAATTTATTGAGCTTCCTGAGAACAACATTCCTCCACTCTCCCCTGTCCCTCTGAACTCACCAGCGGCAGAGAACAAAGTCGAAGGCCGTGCCAGGTCATGGGGGTGGTGGATGGCTCCAAAGAGACTGGGGCCTGGAGGACGGCTCAGGAACTCAGGTTTCAGTCCAAAGTCCAGTTTGTGCGGGTCTGACTGCATTTGTTTCTAAAGCAGCAAGGGTGGGGGGAGGGAATAAAAGATGACATCCCCAGAGGAATGGCAGGAAAGACAGACATTAATGAAGTGACCGAGACTGAGGGAGGAAACTGGACGGTGTGCCCGGCCTCCGAGCGCTGGTCACGCTGCGGTTTATGAACGCCGCAAGAACACAGCAGCCCAGCCTGGGAAGGCAGGCGAGCCTGAGAGAGGGCGGCAGGGCTCGCGACTGGGAGGGCCTGTCTCTCGGGTCAGAATGCCGAGCGGTGAAATCAGTGTTCTGTTTTTGAGGTTACGTAGTCTGAGGAATAAAATCCTATCTCTCCTTACTCAGACTACCATCCCTCCGAGGTAGCTGATCATTCGCTGTAAAGGCCCATTTTAGCAAGTTTTTAAATGATAGTATTTTAAAGCTCATTTTATTAGGAATTCAGCATGAGTAATCTTCTGTGTAAATTAATTGTTTAATGACTCTTTAACATACTCTAATAGATCACAGTACATTAGGAACTGAAAGTTATGAAGAAATATTTGCATGCCTACAAGCTAATTTTCAAATGATCACTGTTACATATTTTAAAAAACCAAACAAACTAAGTGGGGTTATTAATTTAACTAATAGGGGTCTTTTCTTTGCCTACTATCCCCAATTACTTAAGAAGAGGAGATCAGTCCAGACCAGAAAACCACCGAGAACCTCTCTTACTGTGAAGTGCTTGCCATCAACTGCAATCGCTCCATTTCCTCATTTACATCTCCACCCTCAAGCTCATCTGTCAGCTCACCTTCCTCTAAGGCTCCGAGCTTCCCTGCCCTCCTCACCGCCTCCCTGCTCTCCAGTCTCCCCTCTTCACAGCTCGCAGGCTGTTTTGACTCTCACACTTGCAGTCTCTCAGACTCATCTGACGCTCTCAGGTCATTTGGCTCCATTCCATCTCAAACTCCTTCATGTTCTGCTAAAAATAAGTCCTTGTACCGCGGTATATTACAGTCAACAGGGTGCCATCTGATCCAGCATATGCAAGAATCAGAGAAAAGTGTGCTCTTCCCTTACTGCTGAGGGCCACGAGCCCACTCACCCATCATACCTATTTAGAATGACATCAGCCTGAGCACCTCAAGCTGGAAGCCATCCCCCTTAGAAGGAGGCGGCACGTTCACCATTTTTTATGCACGTATTGATCCTCACTACTGATGTCTAAGCAACTAGACACCCAGACGGATGGGTGCCCTCTGAGCCTGGCACAGTGAGGAACCTGCAGGCAGCAGGCTCTCTCGATAAACATTTGGTGGGTGACTAAAAGAATGAGTAAATGAATGTAATAGAAAAAGGGCAATGTAATTTCTGCTCAAATCTACAGGGAACACTGTCATGGAAGTCCCACTATAAAGTAATAGCCAAACCCCAAGACAAAGCTTCTAATTCACTATGAATCTATAAAAATCTTTTGAATGGCTCCTTTAATTTGGTTGCCAAATTATTTAGTGCTAATATTGCATGGTACACAGCACAGTTCCATTAACCACAAGTTAGGTCCATGAAGCAAAACAGCACTTGGGGATTACAGAGTTTGCTGGAAAGGGAAGAAGAACAGACGGTCTCCTGTGTAAGAGGCCTTCCTAACTCAACTGGGACAATGGAGGTTTTATTCGCCGGGGGCATGTTCATGGAAAAGAAGCTGCTAAAAGAGCACATACTATACCCTTCAACTCTTTTCACCAAAGGAGTTACAGGAAGACCAGTCTTACCTACTGTTCCACTAACCACCTCATCCGGGGACAGAAAGTGAATTGAACTGAGGCTCAAAATCTAGTTAGCTCTTCAAAGCACACACATTTCCTAACGAAGCTAAACCGTAAGGTTTCTCATGAAACCTTGCCGAACAATAAGGTGAGCAAAACTCATTGGCAGGGTGTGTGAGAAGACACCAGCACACCATGGCAAATATCTTAGTGGCCTTGATCACTGAAGCTGGCTTTTAAAAAAATCATTGAACCATTTAAACAAACAAATGAAAAAACATTTCTGTGGTGACTGGCTCTCCCTCTGTGTTTATCACTCTCTGATTATTCTCATATTGGCTCCCAAATGCTGTTAGGACTGAAAGCTTATTATTTGAAAAATGGGTTAACTGAAGCTTATTGGAATTACTGGAGTGACTGTTTCCCCCCATTTTTCTAGGTGTAGTTACCCACACTGTAAACATCCAGACTGTAAAGTCTGGACTTGTCAGTTACTTTGCTCTCTAAGCCAACCAGTGACGCCACATTTGGTCACCTGCAGAAGTCCCTGGCTGCTTCCCTATTGTGTCCTAACAGCCTGGTAAATAAAGCATGCATTGTATTCACCTGTAGGATGAAAACAGATCAAAAAGGAAAATCACCCGCAGGAAAGGTAACTGGCCAGACAGTGGTCTGACAAGCACTGACTGTATTCTCACCTCTGGCACTGGTCACCAGGAGGACTAATGGGGTGTGGAGAGGTCACTGAAAACAAAATACTACTTCTAGAAGACTCATTTTCAACACTATATGCATGGCTAACGGAAGTTCTGTAGCATCATATAGAGCTTAAATTACTAGATCATTTTTCCAAAGCCATGAAATGAAAAGAATGCACTCATTGTTATAGGAAAGAAAACTCACATGTGTAAGTCTTCCTGTTTGGCTCCATTCCACCTCAGACGCCCTGATGTTCCGCTATTAATCCTGTCCTGATGTACAGTCAAGTCAACAAGGAGGCATCTGGCCTACGTATTTCCCCAAAATGTTTACTTTAGGAGTTAATCTGCCTGTATTTTACTGTGTATAATGTGTACTTTTCCCCCCAAATTTTTGAAGGAAAAATAAGGATGCACATTGTACATGGGTAGTACCTGAAATACCTTCTATCTATTTTGTTTTGTAATTGTTACATAAAATTTCTTGTACCATAATATGTTAAAAAATAAATGCTAAAATTCCTTCATAATACAAAAAACAAGTATCTAAATATAAATAAACTAAAAAACTAATCAAAAAATTAAAACGAAAGATTCTTCTCCTGAAAGTTGGGGCCAAAAACATGGGTGTGGATTTTACATGGGAGGGCAGTATACACAGCAAAATGCAGTATATTTAAACTCTTTATAGCAAAGATGTCAAAATCATTTTTTTTTAAAGGAAAAAAGTCATCACAGGGTTATCAGTTTGCTTTTGCTTTGTCCTTTAGCTGGTGGTTTCCCTAGTTAAGAGTAAGATTTCCAAAAAGCTTTTCCAAAGAGAGACTTGATCTTTCCTGCCAGCAGAATCAGTTTAAATGCCTCTTTAGCAGGGAAATCACATGCCCACGAGCCAGGGTGCCCACCCCCAAGGCCAGGAAGGCAAGACTGACCTTGACTTTCTGTTGGTGGTGGTAGATCTGCCAGGCAATGTGAACATGCATAGCACACCACTTCCCTGGTTTCTGAAACAAGAAATAGCAGCATGGTCAGAAGGAAGGCCTTTCAGAGAAAACCGCCGTCCATTTCCCCAAAGCCTTCAGCAGATTCTGGCTACAGGGGCTTCCCCCCCTCACCCCCCCACAAAACAAGAGTGCTTTGTACCCTCCAAGTGCCTTCTGTCAGCAGCGCTCCCGTGCCCAGGCCTGAGGGAGCTGCAGTCAGCGCCCTTGCCTCCCGCGGGAGCCCGAGCTGGCAGCCACTCCTCAGGGGACGCCACTGACACGGCCCTCCCCGGTCACCGAGGATAGGACAGCAAAAGCCCGAAGCCCACGTTGTGTCTCTTCTCTCTCTCTTTTCCGGTGCCAGCTGGCAGACCCGCAAGAGTGGGAAGCCCTACTTAACAAATGCGGCCATGCTATGATGCAAATGGGCTGTTCAGAAGAGCTAATTAGTGAATGTCTGTGAATCAGTTTAAAACAAGAGAGGGTCCTGAACCTGTGTAACCTCCTCCAGCACTGGCTTTTCTTTACCCTCAAAGCAAGACAAAGAAATTCACCACGTTTTTATTGAAGCCCAGTTCCCGTAAGCGTAAGCGCTTCGTTAAAAGTAAACTATCCATTCATGTGGACGGGCACTGCCCCCTTCTAAGTAAAAAAGGAAAAAAAAAATTGGTAGCAAGGTCGGGAACTCAGTCCTTCCTACTCTCTAGACCTCTTCATGTATCAATTTCCTCCTCTACCCTCTGGGAGTGTATCAATCCACAGCTCTCAAATTATTTCAGGTCCTGCTTTATAAGCAGTGGGGTCGTTGTGAGTGTGCTCTGTCTCACCACCTGATGGGTGAGGACCACCTCTCCCCACCTGATTTGTAACACAATCTACCCACAGGCTCCAACTGTGCGCTCAGTGACGGCAGGGTGGGTGAGGAGGAACGATTCCCCCATTCCCGTTCCTACGTGGGCAAAGGACAGACACTGCTGGTTTCTATATGAAAGAGCTGATTCTAAATATATAAGCAATGACACAGTCCTTTTATTTTCCCTTTTGGAAAAATTGAATTATATTACTTTATGCACTGGAAATGGGTTAAGTATAACAGGTAATATACTAGCTATCCATCTGCCATCCAACTACCCACTTTCTCGCCCCGCCCTGACCCACCAAGTCAGCCAGCATTTACTCAGAGGTCATCTGCTGGCCACTCTCCAGACTCTAAAGATGTGAACAAACCAAGGTTTACGGTGACCCTGTTCTGTACCAGAGAAGCAGGTTGAACGGCTGTGACAAGTCAACATCACTCACTTCAGAATGAGGCAGCCTGCAGCCAAAATGAACAGGCCCAGATGTATGTGTTTTCTAGGTGCAAGAGAGACAGCAGAACTCCTAATTTTGGCCTATAGCTGAATTCTTTCCCCCCAAGTTCCCATTAGTCAACCCGTTTACCAGAACTGCTACCAGGGAATCTGACTCAGTTGTATTTTATTTGTTAGTTTTACCTCAACAGCCTGGCTTCCTGTAACACCAAAGCGAAACAACTTAGGCCACTGTAATCATACTACCCGAGAAGCCCACCCCAGCAAACATGTCATTCCAACATTGCCTTCCAGCGTTTCTGTGGCTTGGTTCCTCATAACGGATTCGTATTTTTAACCCACAGGGAGTCACACAGAGGTTGCAAAAACAGTTCTAGAAGAAGCTTTCTTACCCTTAACATAGGTCTGAAAGGATCTGTCAACTGTGAAGAGAAAATGACAACTTGGTTACATGCCTGTCACTCAAACAATTGCTCTAATTAACAAATTTGTAGTGCTTCATTAGGAGGGGAAATTAAAATGTTAGAATTTTACTTTTAAATGAAGCCCTTTTAGAGAATAATTAACCCATTTTCACACCATCAAAAGTGCCAAATGTCCCCTCCCCCACTTCACAAGCCTTGGTACATCTACACTGACAAGCCCCCTGAACAAGTTCAATCAATAGCAATTTGCCCTCTGGCAACATCATCTGCTCACGCTGCACATCTGAGGAGTTTCCCTGCCCCGAGCGGCCCTTCCACACCACACGGAACAGGTCTCGGGGAGAAGGGCCACCAGGCCGTGGGCGTGGAAGGCTGGATACTGACAGTATCTGGGGACAGGTGCCCTTCCAGACACACGGCAGATCTGGGTGGTCTCTGCCAATGCCCTTAATTTGAGGATTGCACATTACAGAGAGGTATTAGACATTTGAAAGAAGTTCACTAAATGTCATAAAAATACTTACATAGTTGAGTCATTTTAAACTTCTACCTAACTCTCGTCATCAATTTCTGACTGCCCTTACCCAGGGAAAAAGACAATATTGTAAAAGGTAATCATTTTTCACATTTGCTATGATGAATGTAAATAACAGTCAATGAAACAAGGTTATATATATCGTATAACTTTAAATTCTTCTTTGAGAGTATGTAGAGAATACATATTATGAATAACTAACATAACCACAGCATAGTGGATATTTTATTTAGCTCCGGAGCACAGCAGGGTCCCTACCACATAAGAAGTAGAGGGCCCGGACAGCTGGGCGGCGCAGGGGCGTCCTGACCCCGGGAAGCAGGGCACGTGTCCTGACTTCCAGGGAATCAAGCGCTCAGTGCTTTTCCATTCAAAACATTTTACAGCCATTTCTTTTGTGTGGGAGAAATGTAAGGAAATATAGACAGAGAAGATGGGTTGAGCAGTAACTACACAAATAGTAGGGTGGAAATGCTGGTCTTAGGCTGGAAGCCATTCCTGTTTTCCCTTCAGCATACTGTGTGGCCAAGGCAGAGCAGGAGAGATTTTGTTTTCTAAGAGTAACTGGCATTTTCTTCCACAAACGAGAAGGGACAGCTAAAACAGCAGCTCATTCAGTTGAGCTAAAGAAGGTGTGAGCACTGGTTGGCCGTCCCACGCAAAGTGCCCGCCTTGTTACCTGAGGTCAAGCCTGACTTCGTACGTACCCTCGGGTCCTTTTGGAGTAGAGTGTGCGGGACTGTCCCAGGGCGAGTGGCAACATCGATAGGGTTGGATGTCTATGAATGAACCAGACCACAGCTTAGGAAGCATGTAACATGAATCACGAAAGCAAGATCTTTGCTTTCAGTCTAAATTACAGAAGTCAAATGTTGTTTTCCTTTTTCAATCACAGTTCACATTCGATACTATTTTGTATAGTTTCAGGCGTACAGCATAGTGGTCAGACAATCATAGACTTTACGGAGTATTTCCCCTGATAGTCCCAGTGCCCACCTGGCACCGTACATAGTTATCAGGATATTCCTGACGACAGTCCCCATGCTGTACTGTACATCCCCGTGACTGTTTTGTGATGATCCACTTGTACTTCTCAATCCCTTCCCCTTTTTCACCCTGTCCCAATTTTTCGTTTTCATTCTGCAACACAAGAGTTAACAGATTCATTTTTCCCACGATCACACATGCCCTCCATCAGGACCCACGCCCTATTTTCTCAAGGGACCCTGGTCAGGGACTGCCCTCCCCAGCAATGGCATCTAAACACAGAGGCCCCGCGCGGCTGCAATGAGCAGCGTAGGACCGAAAACAGAACCGACACACGGAAGTGCAACCCCGACACCCCGCTTCTTCCGAGTTATTGACAGCTCTGTCATTGTGCTTTTTGCTTTATCACCAAACAAATATTCCAAGAAATGCTTAAGTGAACATCATCCTAATTTGCTCTATCAGGTGCTCCTCATCAGAATAACAGAAAGTGTTTTACAGACATTAAGCTAACTCTCTAAATTTTAACTGGCAGACAATAACAAGGAATTACACTCAGTAATTACTCATTAGCAGTGGTGGAAATGGGACAAGAGAACCTAATTTAGGGACCATGCAGACTTACATTAAATGATTTCTAAGGTGATTCTGCTTCCTCTTTTCTATTCCCACACCATTCTTCAATCTCATCAATAACACTAACCTTATCTGTAGGTTCTTGTCCTTTGAATGGACAGTAATAGCAACAAAAAGCCTACTTCTGGCACAAGCAGTCACTACTGTCTAGCGGGCGAAGGATTCAAAAAATTTTTCACCAGGTATTTTATTTAAGAGATCACAACCTCTAAGAATCCCTTCACACCAGGGAGTTAACTTGCAGGGGGCAAAAGGGCTCAGGTTTAGGCACAAAGCCTAAGGGGAGAAGGGAAAAAAAGAAAGAAAAGAAAGGAAAGCAATCAGCGGCTGTACAACCAACAATTAAGCTGGAGTGTTAACAGACTGATTTGCATACATATGAAGAACTCCACTAATGAACTGCAATCTGCATATTCAATCAGTAACATGGCCTGGAAAGGCCTATTTCAACTCCAGGAGAGGCACTTTCTTGCCCAGATGTAGTTTTCTGTGTGATTGGATAATTGTGAGTGAGGGAAATAGTCTAATTTATTAAATGACCTACCAGTCTGTTTGGGGACACACGAGAGATTTGTTGCAACCGAGAGGGGACAGACCAGGGTCCGAGGGAGCAGTAATGAGCAGATGGGGGGAAGGAGTTTAAAAATCACCATCATTTTACGCTAAGACGGGAGGTGTTTAACGTCGCCATTGGAGAAGCGCCATGTATCTATAACCTGGCTTATAAACTGCAATCCCATGCAGGTAAATGCGATTTCTAAGGTGTAGCCATGCAACCCCTAATGCTTTTTAATTTCTTCTCCAATTTCTAGTATTAAGGCAACATGTCTTTGGAAATGTAATCTGTGCTTATCCTGCGGGACTCTGGCCCAAAACTGGGGTTTTGTCTAAGAAATGAGATGGGACCCCTCCCCCCCGCCCAAATTACACACAGTAAATTTCCTACCTTAAAATCTGAGACTGGCTCCTAACAAGAAAAGTGCATTTTGCATTTTTTGTATGTAAATAAAGTAGAGGCTGTAGCAGCTTTAGAGTCACCAAATGGTAGAGTTCTGAGAGTTACTGCTCTACACTGACCCTCTGCAGCATACCGCTGACTAGGTAGAAAAGAATACAGTTATTATAAAGGGTAAAAGGTGAATCTCATACTAGAATGTCAGTAAGTGATGACAGAGCCTTGACCTTGGCAAGTGTGAAGCTGCAGGTGAGGGCAGGGAGGACGAGAGGGGGCAGAGGGGAGAAAGGCCACCGGCAAAGGGCGGTGCCACCAACCCCCCTGCCCCCCACCCCAGGCTGCACTGCGGACAGATGGGGCGGCGGGGGGTGGGAGGGTGGAAGGGGGGAGAATAAATGGGAGCGCCTGTTTATTAGAAAGATAATTAAAAAGATACAATTTTAACTTTGAAACCTTTTTCCTCCCTTCTGTTAAAATCAATAAAGGCTCCCCTTTGTATCTTTGCGAATAATACGTACCTCAAGGACACCCTGGCGCACATACGTGTATCTGACATTTGCTAGGATTCCTGACTGGAAGCTTGTGTCCACAACATGGGTGGAGAATATACACATATATTCTGATATTTTTAAAGCACAGAAGATCCTAGATCAACTGAGATTACATGGGTAGTACAAACTGAAAACTGAATTTGACTAAAGTTTAAAACGAAATGGACTTCAAAAAATATTCTTACTCTAATCCCAACGATCACTTTGGATCAGAAAAAATACAAGCAAGACAATGCAGAACCCACCCACAGGCTTAGCCTGAGGCTCCACGTACAAACACACTGGTGTGTTTCCGCTGTAAGGTTTCTTACCTTCGGCTGAAATGCTCCTTGTAGTGAACCAAAGGGGCCAGTGGGTGGGATCATGGGGGGGATGCCCGATACTGCAGGCGGGTAGGAATGGAAGAGCTGCGGCCAAAGACGGAGAGGGAGAGAAAGCTTTTAGCAGGAGGCAAATGATATACTCCCAATTCCCTTCCCGTAGAAAGACATCAACATTAGCAAGCCAAGTAATCTCAGTTCGATGCTATTAGTCAAGAAGCCACGATGAAATGATCACACAGATGTGCCATGAATGCTTAACTCGAAAACTTAAAAGTAGTTCAGAATCAATCAGCCAACAAATGACGTCCCAGATGAGGACATCATTAGTAAGGGAGTTTTTCTAATTATTAATTGTTAAATCGGATACAAGTCCTAAACGGTAGGAGATTTTAATGCATATCAAAAACAGGAGGGGGGCTGAGCTGAACAAGATGCCCAGAAAATTACAAGTTAATTAGAAAAAGAAAAAAAGAAAGGGAAAAAAAGAAGGAAGAAAAAGAAGCAAGTCTTTATGAGTTCCAGGATTTTATATCATTAAAACTCAATTAGTACTTTTAGATTTTTAATAGTTTGAGGAAATGAGAAAATATTCACAATCCTTGCTTCATTAGGTTGTTCTAGAAGTGGCAGTTCCAAAGGACAATTTAATTGTCTCATCTAAAATGATGACAAATATTTGTGGAAGGATAAAATAAAAGAACTCAATATAGATTTTCAGGGGAGCCGCCCACTTTTCTATAAAATGGACAAGCTCACTGGCGGGTACTCAAGCCAAGCCCTGACGTGAAGCCCCTCAGGGAAGGGAGAAGAATGATTCTGAATTGAGTACATACATTCTCTTGAATTAATAGTTTACAGACAACACAATGGAGGAAAGAAATACATGGCAACGGTGAAGGTAATGCAAACACATCTTTCCCTCCTCCTAAAAACTTAGTATTTTTGAGATTCTGTTGCTTTGGTTCCTACTTTGATCAAACCGCCCGCCACAGAGGTATTTCAGTAACGTCCCACCCACATGGTTGTATAATATATCAAAAGTACAAGAGTAACTCAAGCTTTTCCTAATATTGCAGTTATGTTAGCTATTTCTAGGTAATGACTGAAATCTACATTTTATAATCCTGTTTTCAGAGCACATTCTTTTTTCCGTTGGTCTTTATTTCATTTTGCTCCCTGCAATGATGCAGCAAAGTTTTTCCGACTAATTGATATTGAACTAAATCCACTTAAACAGTGATTGCAAGCCAAGTGCCCTCATTTAAAACTATGTTTAAGTCTAAAATTGTGTATTAGATACTTGAGTGCATTGCATCTTAATTCCCCTTATAATGTCCTAATCCCCAAAGCGAGGGCGACTAAGTACTTCACATATTATCCGCTACCACTAATAATATGAAATAACTCTCCCACAGTACACTGTATGAAGCAGAGTAATTAAATACATGCCACACTAAAACACACTCTGTTTCTATTACTCTGCCTCCAGGTGGGTATTTTTACTTTAATGTTTTCAATAAGAAACTGTTTTTCTCACCATTTTCCTTTTGCCTGATTCTGTTACTGACACTCTTAGAATATGGTTAACTACCCCCCTCCTTTGACTAAAAATCTGAAGTATCTAAGTAATAAAACATAAACCTTTCAAAAGATCAGGCCCCCGGACTTACTCTCCCTCTTCACTCTAGAACTCTCTGTGAAATATGCATATAAAAAGGCACTGCATCTGGTCCTAGGAAGCAGATCTCAGTCACCTGCTGAGCACGCTAGCTTTCCCTAAGATAACTTTGTTTGCTGGTCCTTAACTTAAATCAGTAAGGTAATGACAAAGGGCAGAGACCTGATGCCTACCTATTAAGATGGCCTCATTCATGAGAAAGGCCCAAAGAGGAAACCACAGGCCTACTGGATTTTCATGTCTATTTAAAAATGCTTTGGTCTCACAGAACCCACGGAGCACACAGTGCTGGGACGGCGTGGGGCCCAGGCGCGCCTGTTCACTTTCCTCGTCCCTTTCAGAAGAGGTCTTCCTCATGTTATTTCCAAATGTCTCTAGACTAGTTTCTCACTGTTTTCTAGTATTTTCTAGTCTTGACTTTTCAGCTACAGTCAGGACTAATACAGTGTATAATTATTTGGTTCTAAGTATGAATGAATTCACAGCTTTCGATGATCTATTACGTAGCATTTCTATTCAAATAATAACACTATCCAAAAATCGAAGTAGAAATAGTTGAGTATGGTGAATCAACATGGCTACAAGCAATTAATAAACTTCCTTCTGCCTGGTTTCTTTTTAAAAAACACAAATAAACCACTGAGCAAAGAAACTTGCAAAATTTAGGGTAAACATGATGCAGTATTCACTCCATAATCAAAATATCATGGTAAGATGTTCAAGGTCTTTGTATACAGAGAAGTCCTTGTTTTATGAGTAACTAAACAGTTAACTTAGGTTGGTACCAACTTAAGTTCCAAATCATGCTCTTCAAATTGTGTAAAACAAGCATTCTTCTTCATAAAGAATGAGTTTAAAGAAAATCATACATTTCAATTTTAGGACCCTCTTTTATTTAAATATCTTTATATTTATTCAGTTGTAACAAACTCAGGAAAACATCAGCAGCCAGGTGAAAGAGGGTTCTGAAGTTAGTCTAAAATCCTGCTTTCTGAAGAGTTACAAGTGAAAAGAAGAGACTTTCTGTCTGGAGCAAATAATTCAAGTGGAATTCCAGGAATCTGTGTCCAGGAATCCGTGGACATGATTATTTCAACCAATGACTGAAATCCTGTGATTTTAGACCTTCCCGAGACTGTAATGATTCGACTGCAGGTGCCGCCTTGTCAGGACAGACGCCTGGCTTCCAGTGAAGTTCAACTTTGCTTTCAATGTTAGGAGTACTTATGATCTTTTGATTCCAAAGATGATACTGCATCTTTACCCAAAAGCAAACGTCACAAAAGCAAGCATCCAAAGTGACGAGGAGCAACGGGAATTCTTGCAAAGATGATTAAGGAAAGCTGCTAGTCATTTATTGATCTGTGACAAGCACAAAAAATGGAAAGCAGTTACATTGAATGCGTAGCATGGTAATAAGACTCACACTGTGCCGGTAGAATGGGTCAACTTTTGTAGGGTATTTGTCAAACTGTAAAGGGATCAAAGCAAAAGCTAGTTACTTAAAGAATCCACATTTGTGTTCACTGCTTCAGTGGAGGTTGCCCTAAGCAAGTGTCTGGTCGTGCTGCTATCATCAGACTCCACAACCTCATTGTATATGAAACCATTCTGGGCTTCTGAGTCACTCCGACAAGAAACCAACAAAGGTGGAAAGACAAAGTGAAACCCACATGGTGTGTTTAGGTCCTGGCTGCACTACTGTGTCTCTTTCTACTCAGTATTCAAAGACTGGCACAGACCAAACATCTGACCTGGAGAAAAGAGGTAATTATTCAGACAAATCAGAGAGAAGTGAGCATTTGGTCTGATTTATCCAGAGAATTCCCTCCATTTTCTTCTTCACCTTGGCAGAAGAATTGCACATTCAGCTGTCTTCTGAAATATATTACACCCAAATACAAGCAATTTGGACTAGGTCTTATAACCTTTCTCTTAAGCAGTCAAGAGCATTCCATTGTTCCCTCTGAATTGTATGACCGTTGGGTACTGTAACTCCCCTCTGTTCAGTTTAAGCATCTATGAAACACCTCGCTCAGGCTGTGGCGTGAACTCTTTCCCAACATAACAGGTCCTTAAAAATGTAACTTTTGAGGGGTCTAGTTCCTCGAGGAAAAAAGATACGGGATTTTCTATATGAAAAAAGTTTGGTCCCAAGACCTCATCTCAAATCTAAGTAAAACTTATAAAATAAACTTTATTTTGAAAAATTAAGTAGAAAAAAAATGAGGGAGTGTGAGGGAAGAGAGGAAATGAAGTTTGGTAAAAGGAATGCCTCTTAAAATCACAGAATTGAAATCTTTTCCCATAGTGCCTAGAGTAATTGCCTTAAGATCAAGTATTTAATAATAAAAAAAAATTAAATAAACCACGCTTATACTCACTGTTATGGGCAGGGCTCTAGTTCAGGATATTCAGCATCCTGTTAGAGCACTATTCATTACAGATCCTAAGTTACAAAAAACATCCTAACTGGTTCTCCCAGCACGTGCTAGACCCCAGTCAAGACCAAGACCAAGACCGTGGTCACTGCCAGTGGCACCTCTTACCACAGGCTGAGCTCTGTCCCTGCAGGGTGCGCGGCTCCCTAACCGCCTGCTGACAGCACAATACCAGGCTGGCACCGTCTCATGGGATACAAGAACTGAACACCTCCAACACCAGAAAGGGCAGGCACCCCATGTAGTCCAAGTCTCCTGACCGCTCTCTGCCCTCCTTAGCCTCCTCCTGACTCCCGATAGTCTGTGAGCATTGATTTGTTAGTACCTGGTGCAAAGCACTAACGGAGACATTTTTGTATGTAGTGGCGACCCCCCAGCATGTTCAAGAAAACAAAATGACCCTGTAAGTCAAGTTAACTGCCAACATTGGATGTGACCGTTTTCAGGGCACCTAAGATGGATAAAATGCACCCACGGCGCTGCATATAACTCTAGAAAAAAGTTCCTCCTTCAGGCCCAGGGTTAGTGCTGTGGCTGAAGCAGACACATGCCTTTCTTTCCAGCAAAGATGGACAGCGCCAGGGAGCCCCCTGGACGGCTATCACTCCCCCTCTAATCTCCTGTCCCCAACAGCCCACTCCATCCCCACCATGCTGCATAAAAGAGTCGTGCTCTACTTATCCTCACATTTCTGCCTGGGGTACGCACCATGGGAGGTGCTGGCGTCGGCATGATGGCGGTGGGCGGGATGGCGTGGGGGAAGGGCGTGAAGGTGTGCTGGTGCGTGTGCTGGTGCGTGTGCTGGTGCTGGTGCTGGTGCTGGTGGAACTCGGTCCGCAGGTAGGGCGGGGGGCCCAGGGAAGCCCCGCGGTCAGCACTCTGAGAGGCCAGGAAACGAGTGTTCAGTTCCTGTCGCAGGATGTCTTGCTCTGGAGAAGGAAAGGGAGAGAATGACACCTTTTCTTGTAATAGTAGTTTTCTTCAGAACAGGACATCCGAATACTTTACTAGGAAGGGATCAGGGCCCAGGGCATGTGACATGAGGCTCTGAGGGGACAACCAACCCGGCTGACAAATATAAGGCCAGTCACAGTCTAATTCTCCTGCACTGTCTGGCTGCTTGGTCCCGGAGGACAGGCCGCTCAGCGTGGTGTGCGGACACGGGGTCCAGGCCGCTGTCTGGGGTCAGTTCTGCGCCCTGCTGCTGCCAGCTGGGTGGCTCTGGGCGTGGCTAACCACCCTTCTGTGTCTCAGTTTCCTCATCTGTCACATAGGGACACTGTTGCCTACCTCAGGGATTCAGCTTGAGGGTTAAAGGAATTCACATCTGGGAGTGCTGAAGAGCAGTGAGTGGCATGCTAATTCATAAGCGCCAGCTGTTGACATGGCAGAGCGCTGTGCCCACTTCAAGGGCAAATCTCTGCTTTATAGCTCTCGGTATGAGCGCTCTGATGTGCCTACGAGGGACCCAAAATTGGGTCACCGGTTCTGACTGATAAACACAGGTGGGGAATAAAAGCACCCGCTATCTAACACTGGGTCTGGCCTTAAAATTCTGGGATGTGTGGCCTCCAAGTGCACCTGCCCCTCCCAGGAAGATGCTAGAGAGCCCTGTTCACTTGAGAGAAACCCCTAAACCAGGTGCCCCACAAGGGCCTGGAGCGAACCAGACACGGCCTGGGAAGGCGCCTGTCACTCTAACGGGAGCCCGGGCGACAGGGCACACACAGTCCGGGCTTTACCACGTTATCAGTGGGGAACTCAGTGGGAAGAGCCTCATGGCTTCAGAAAGACCGTCCCCGCACCCCCCCGCCCGGGCATGTCCCATTCTCTGGGCTTGTGCTGGGTTGAAGTGTGCCCTGGTGCACGTTTTTGCTGAATCTCAGCTCACAAAAGACTGATTACAAGACTGCACCCAACAAAGCAGAAGATCCTAAACAGAGAAAGCCCAGCCATCAGGGGCAGCAGAGACAGCTGCTGGTGAGGCCACCGGCAAGGCGGAGGGGGAGCTCGGTGAGCGAGGCCAGCACCTCCGTCCTACCTGAGTAAGTGCTCCCGGCCGGGTGTCCGGGGACCTGCAGACTCCCTGATGTCAGTGGTGGTGGAGGAGGCAGAGCAGTGGGAGGGGCAAACATATTGGGGTGATGGGAGTGTGCGGGGGGCTGGAGGGTGGGCGTGAAGCTGTGCAGCGGGCTGTGGTTGGGCAGTGAGAGGGGGAACGGGGAGGCTGAGGGGTGGTGGGAGATGTGTGGAGGGGCTGGCTGAGTCTTCGCTGGGGTGCTGCTTCTGCTGCTGCTGTGGGAGGAACAAAGAAAGAAAGAAAAAGAAAGAAAGAAGGAAAGAAAGAAAGAAGGAAAGAAAGAAAGAAGGAAAAAAAAGAAAGAAAGAAAGAAAAGAAAGAAAGAAAGGAAAGAAAGAAAGAAAGAAAGAAAGAAAGAAAGAAAGAAAGAAAGAAAGAAAGAAAGAAAGAAAGAAAGAAAGAAAGAAAGAAAGAAAGGTAAGCAATTAATTTTCTGGGGAAAAAAAAATCCTATCTCCCTGCTCAAAGCTACTCTGGAAACCTCTTTTCTCTTGCTCCTCCTCTTTACAGACCCTCCCCTGGGCACGCAGGAAGCCTCTCCTGAGCTCGTCCCTGTTCTGCGCTTGCCGCCACTACTGTAGACCCAGCGAATGGGAACTGTGGCTCCAGAGCCACCGCATACCTGTGTCCAGGCAGCTGGCTCTACCCCAAACTCAGGACCGCTCTCCCCTGGACAGCCAGGTTCTCATCTCTGCCCTCTGCCCCCAGAGACCCAGCCTTCCCACCCTCCCCCAGCCATATTTCCTAGGAAGCAATACAATTTAAAAAAGGGGAGGAGAGCGAGGACTTGAGTTCAAGTTCACCCTGCCTGCCCGCTACCTGGGAATGAAGACGCACAGAGAAGAGGCAAACCAGGGAACCCGGGTTCCCTGTTACCCCTACTCTCGACTCTCTGGAGGCAGAAGACAGGCCTGCCGTCTTGGGGAACAGCCTCCTCACCCTGCTGGTCTCCTCACCTGTCACAGACAGGAAAACCCAAGTCCCTGAACCACCCCAGTCAGACTGTGGCAAGGAAAACAAACAGCAAAGGCACATGCCCCATGAGGAGGGAGATGTAAGAGTTACAACTCCCTTTTCTTTGCAGCTCTCCTTTTTGCTACTTTTTGAACTTTCCTTTGTAATTCTGGCAAAACGGGACAGCGGAGGGCCTGTATCTCTCCGTGCAGAAAATCCTCTTTCTCGACACCCAGCTTGTTTCTTCTCTCTCTCTCTCTCTCTCTGACCCCCCCTCCCCCGGAGGAAGTAACTCTCAGTAAAAGGACCTCAAACCAGAATATTCCTTGGTCCCAGTCTTCCTGCTCTGGACATAGAGAGAGATGTAGCTTCTTCAAAACATCCTCTGTCTGAGGCAAGGAGCCTTGCTTCTGAGACCCTCTAACGCTCGGTGGTCTCTATGAGCCTCGGGTTTTGATTCCCCGACTCACCAATGGGGGGCTCCAGGGCACAGCACCCTCAACTCTCTGTTTCTTAAGCATTCTCCTCCTTCCTGCCTTCACCCCCTCAGGAGTCTCCAGATATTTGAGTTTTTACCACGGCCTCATTCCCCAACCCAACCTGCCCTCTCCCCAGAGACCTGAGTCTCATCTGACTGTCCCTTTCAGTCTCTACTTCAGAGAGGACACAGTGACAATGTTTTCAACAAGCCAACTCGGGTCTCCTTGGGAACTCCTTACTCGTGACCACTTGTCCGTCCCAAAGAAGATGGCAGAAGTCAGGCAAAACCAGAGCAGGGCGGCTCACCTTAAACTGTTGAGGCTTAAGCTGCTGCTGTTGTAGGCCGACAGCGGCTGGGAGAGGCTCTGAGACGCGGGGGGCGCCTGCACAGGCGGGAGGCTCTGATGGAGCAGCTGGGTGGGGGACTGGGGCCGCGGCGGCCTCTGCACTGGAGGCTTGGGCGCCGGCTGCAGCTGGGCCTCTGGCGGGGCCTGCGGTGGCTGTGTGCTTGGACGCGGGGGCTGAGGCGGGGCCTCTGTGCGCTGCACCAGGGCAGGGTCCGGAGAAGGAGCTCTGGGCTGGGGCTCCGCCTGGGGCGGGGGCAGCGGCTGCGGGACCTGAGGGCAGGGGTCTTTAAGCACCACGGGCTCAAAGATCGGCTCTTTGCCACAGTCCTGGCTCTTCTCCTGGCTTCTCTCTAGACCAGATATCTTGGGAACAATTGGCCCTGCATCCTGGCTGTCATGTTCGGGTAGCGTGCCAACACCTAACTCCGAATCTGCGGAGGGGAGAGCAGAGACAAAACGACAGACAGTGAAGGAGATGTGAGTGTGACACAGGATGGGAACGCAAACTCCGAGACCAGAGCATACAGTCCCAGAGTTGCAGTGGAGCCCAAGCTTTCTATCTGGTCTCCCCAGGTGCGGAGCCGGGGAAGATGGGAGGGCAGCCCTTTGCCCCTCAGGCAGCCAGAGCCTTACAGGGAGAAATGGGAACCAGCCCGTGGAGGCTGCATGCCAGAAAGTAGTCTAGGCCATCCAGAGTCTGAAAATGAGTGTTTTCCTTAATCTTGACAAAGACTTTTATGAAGCAAAATTATAAAACAATAGCCCACAGTTGATTTTTCCCTTTTAAAAACAAATACAGTCCTTGAATACATAAAAGACAACTGTTTTCAACAGCCGATGAAGCAAGTCTTGTTTAGCCACACACAGATGCCGCTTTTGGCCTTGCCCCCACCCCCCTTTCCATTTGGACAGATGAGACACACTTGACATTTAGAGAAATCATTTTTGTTTAGCAAGTGCTAGACTTGTGGTCAAGCATCAAGCCTTGTGACGCTAACCAAGTGATCCCAGCAACGTCTGAGGTCAAAAGTGCAAACATGAATTTAAATCAAGGCAGCTGTCAATTACACATGCCAGAACACTTCACGGAACCTCTGGGCCACACTAGGAGTCCTCGCCCAAGCAAGGACAAGCTGGACACTGAGACTAGGCCTGGATGCAATAATTAAGTAACATTCTACAATCATGAAATTCGGAAAGCATGCTCCTGCGTGAGTTTAAAAGACATGCATACCTCCAAGGGCCAAGAGATCTAGGTCCCATCTAGTGTAGTGGTTCTTTGGTTACTTCGTAGGTCGAATTCCATAAAACCCTCTGACAGAATAATTTAGGACAATATGGCATTAAATATTTAAAAGCGGCCCTACTCATGAGTAAGTACTTTTGTATACATCTGGAGGAAAACTCCCCTTTCCCACATTTTTGTATGAGAAGATCTATTCTTTTGTTATTATACAACTTATAAAGAGGAAGAAAATAGATGCCACTGTTCTGTGAAATGAGGGTGTGTTTCAGGCATTCCTAAATGAACTACGCGGGGCATGAGCTTTTTCTTCCTATCTCACTGTATCAAGTGTGAAGAATACATAGTCTCCTCACCAGTACTATTACATTCTCTTGATGTATTTGTGTGTAAGCACTTCTCATTTTTCTTCCCTAGAATCTGCATCAAAGCGATCCATTATTTACAATTGTTCTTTTGGTAAAAGAGATCTAACTTACAGTGTCCACAAAAGCAGGACAAACTGGGGTTTTACAAAGTGAATTTTTGGCTAATATGAACTTGACTACCCTCAAGTCCCACCAACCAGCCTGGGACATGTACACTAATATGATGTAAAAGGACAAAGCACCCAGCAAGAGCCTGGTGAAATGTAAGTTGGACTCCTGACATCCTACCCGCACATATTTCTATCCAGTGCTGTCTTGAGAAGCTTTCTAGGAAGACTTTTGCTTATGATAAGCTGAAATTTTATGAATTCCCCAAACCTTAGTTTCCAACTGGAAGGCTGAAAGAGAACCTCCTTATGTGGACAGACCCCATTTGAGCCAGAAGAAGGTCCCTCAGTTACAAAGGATGGCCCTCGGCCCGCACACTCCCGCATCCAGGGGGCCTGGCTCTGCTGCTCTGTGCATTCTCTTCCCTATTGTTTTCAAAAGATTTTCCACGGCAATCTTTTCCACGTGCAGGTCGTTACACGAGCCACCAAAAATCCCAAGTTGCATACATTGCAGGCGGGTTACTTAGGTCAGGGAGCAGAAATCCTAACATCACAAAATAAAAGAGATTTTCCGTTTTCCTCAATGAGAAATTTCATGTGCGTAAGCAGGACTCTTCACACTTGGACAGCTAATTTAAGATTATTATGCCTGCTACCGTTGCTGTCCTTTAGTGCGGCTTTGTTTTCTCTGGGCTGGGATGGTGGAGAATAAATACATCCACATTTTCTCTCATTAAATTTAAATTCAAATGCATAACCTCCCTCCAAAAATCAATGTCCAGACAAAGTTTCTCTCTGACATAAAAGAAAGTTTCGTTTTCGGGAGGAGAGCATTTTAATTTACTTATCCTGGTAAGGAAGCGTGTTAAAAATACGTTAGTACTTCTTCATACATGTAACTTGATTATACGTATATCTTGTTCTTTATTTAATGAGCCCCTGAAGTTTGGATGACACAGTCAGATTTGCAGAAGGCACCAAGCAGGCTCGGGCTCACTTCCCAAGGCTCTGTGATGGTGAATGGAGTTGGCTTTCACGCCGCCTCTGCTGCCCCCGTTTCAGTCCCAAGCTAAACAAAGCCAGAGGCAGTAAGAGGAGTGGGCGGAGTCACTGCCACCCCCGACAACCACCGAAGTACACAGGGATGGAAAACTCTTCTCCAGCAAACCCTGCATATTGTTATGAAACAGTCTGTGGTGAATGACAGAAGAAAGCACTAGAAGGCACATAATTCTGAAATAAGATCAGAATCTGGGAACCCATCTCAGCACTTCTCAAACTTCAGTGTGCACACAAATCACCTGCAGATCTGATTAAGATGCAAATTCGGATTCAGTAGCTCTGGGGCGGGGCTCTGGGGTCTGCCTTTCCGTGAACCTCCCCACGATGCCGATGCTTGGACCATTCCGATGCTTGGACCATTCCGTGAGTAGCAAGGCCCTCAGCCAATCCTCTCTGACTGGATGGGGATGAAGCCTAGAGACGTTAAGGAATTTGCTTGCTAGAAGTCACCTGGCTGTTCAATAAATCAGATGACTTGAGTCCTAGTCCTAACTCCGCCACCGCCAAGTGCCTTTTCTTGGATTTACACTATGCTGCTCCTGAAGAAGCAAAAATCCTAAAACAGTAGGTAACGGAAACTCCAGGATTCATTTAAAATATTTATGTACAACCAGACAGTGTGAAGGATTAGGGAAGTTACTAAGAGTTGCTGGAACACTGCCCTTCAACTAAACCAGAAAGCTATCATCAATCCATCAATGTTCTGGTGCCACAACCTACGAGCAAGACAGGGATGGATGTGCAGGCTGGTAGGAACTTAGGGGCCAAAACAGTTTTATGGCTCCCCATTTACACAAGTCTCTTGAGTTACATACTAGGCGTCATGAGTTTTTGTGGCTAATCGGTAATGCATTTCCTCTTCCTTTCAATTATTCAATAAATGTATCTTCCCAGTTAAGCTTTTCCATCTTGATAGTCAATTTATCTTACCACGCTTCTCCAAAATTGGCAGGAACACATTTTAAAAGATCATTTTTGTATTGCTCTGTGTGCTCTGAATTTGCCAAAAGATGAAATGTGCTGAGGTTGAAAGAAATAAGAATGTACAAATAGACTAGTCTTATTTAGAAGTTTTATTCATTTCATTTTGAGGTTTAAAAATCTCCTTACGCTTATAAAAATAATACATCATGCTACTAAAAGGCATGCAATTTAAAATTATACTGCATAGTATACAGTAGAAAGGGTGAATTTACTGCATGTAAATTATACCTCAAAATAAACCTGACTCAAACACAATAGATTTTTTACAAATTCAAGGATAAATTAGGAAAAAAACTGTTTGCTTTTGATACAAATCTGATACAAGTTCCCTGGGGAAAAAGGGCCTTCCTGTACATTACCAGGAGCCAGTAAACCCTAGAACTTTTGTGGAGGACAGTTTGGCAACATTGGGGAGGAAACTGATGGCCTGGTGTGTAAGGATTTGGCTTACAGACAGAATGAAACAACATCATGGTCTGAACTGCAAGTTTGGAAATAGCTCCAATGTAATCATTAGGGGACTGGTGAGATGTACATTTGGTACAGCCACAGCATGGCAAACACTGCAGCTATAAAAATGAATGAGGAACTCTGTGTCATAATGGAGAGCATATGCTAGCTTTTATGAAAAATGGAGGAAAATTAACATATATTCATTTTTACTTTATGCATAAATAAGCTCTGGAAGAATACACAAGAAACCAATAGCATTGGGTGCCTGTTTGGGAGCTTGGGGAGGAGGGAGAAGTATACAGACAAGGAGCTGGGGGAAGGGAAGGTATTTTTGAATCATGTGATCATGTTGCCTGTCAAAATCTTTGTAAGACAATTAGTCTTACATTTAAAAATAGTCTGAGCTAGATAAAAATAAAAGAAAAAGCAAATAAAACTGGGAATCTGAATAGTGGCATGACAATAGGCATGAAAAGTATATTTTATATAAATTAACAAAATATAATGTGCAAGTTTCAATAGTTTGAATAAATGAATATTACAAAAAAATACAAATGAGTAAAACTGACTTAGAATAAACCAACCTGACCATAAGAATACACTGAAAAGGTACTCAATAATTAACACCTCAGCCCCCCCAACCAAAGGTACCGGGTGCATATGTGTTACAGACAAGGTGGACTACACCTGTAAGAAACAAACTATTTGCGTCACTTAAATTGAAAACCAACAGCAAACATACAAAAAAAAAAAAGGCAAAAGTATTATTTATAAATAATATATAATTATCTACCTAGAAAACATAAACAATCAGCTAAAAAAATATTAGAACTAGTCAGAGCTCAGTAAGGTAACCAAATAAAGAAAAACCACAGACATCAGTGGCTTTTCTATATGCCAGCAATAATGAATAGAAAATAAAATTTAAAAAAGGATCCCATTTACAATAATAAAAATCATATAATACTTGAGAATGAAACTAAAAAGATTACAGAAATATAGCCTCAAAAATGTTTAGAGAACTTCTATGCTCAAGGGTGTTTCATGATGCAAAAGAAAGAGAAACAAGTCAAATCCAGGTACACGGGGTCTGTCCCTCAAGGACTCAATCCCTAGGGGGAGTTTTCAATATCCATGGGAGTGTGTTTGGCTGTCACAGTGTGGGAAGGCACAGGTGGCTCTCGGGAATGAGAGATGTACTGCAACGGGAA